CCTTTTAAACTGTTTAAGTTTTAATACTTCTTCATGTGGTTGTCCACTTGTCATGCATAATTGCCATGTTGTCAGCTATACACAACTCCTAGTCCCCTGCTTATTAGATAAAAAACATCACACTTCCTAATTCCCCTTCACCCACAAACATGTAGCTGCTTTCAGTGTTGCTTTGGGGATGAAAATGCTCCTACAGACAGAATTTCAATGTGGGCTGTGAGCCAGAGCTGCAGAGCTGAGTCATTGTTATACAAGCAGAGCTGAGATGGCACAGAAAAACCCCTTTGTACTTTAACACTGGAACACGTCAACTGTTGGACTTTGAGTATCACAAGCCACGTACACAGAGAACCAACTGTCATTTACTGGACTTTTCCTCTTGTATATCTCATCATCTGTCTGGATAATTCTTCCCTCTCCATTTTGCTTCACAAGTTTAAGAGCAAATACATTTTTCATCAAGCTATTGGCCTCTACTAAAGTCTGGCAAACATTGCATCAGCTTTGGAATAATGAAATGAAAGCTGTTAACTCTCTGGACAGTAGGAAGCACCTGCTGCCCAGGTACACTGACCATACCCTCCCTATGTGATCACTGAAATTTAGGGCTTTCAAGTCAGAATACCTGTGAAGTTTGTCATCATCCAGAGGTCTACTGTAAAGCTCTTGAACTGATTGTTTATGTGAGAGCCAATTTTGAGCTCTGAGAATCCTCTGAAATAAAATAAGGAACAAATGAAAAAGAAGGAAGAATTACTGTGGCCTTAGGAAACCAAACTGCATTTTGTTCTTCCATTTTTGTCTTCCAGTTCTTTATCCTGAAGCATCACAGAGGAACAGAATTTAGCTTCTCAAAACACTTTCTACATTTAAAATAAGCTGAATTAATTGTGGAGGGGCACAGAGAGTGACAGATTTGCAGATATTACAAGGACTGCAAACTCAGTAGAGTTTTCTCCTTGGAACTGCTTTTTGAACATGTACAAGTGCAAGTGGCTCCTGTCTTAAAGAGAGAAGGTCATTTCTGTGAACTGATCACTAACAAGCTCCTAAAATATGTTCTGGATTTCAGTGTAGAGCAGTTCAGTGTTTTTTAGGACAGGACAGACCATGTAGGCTGAAGCCTGTGCCTGCTGCTGGCTGTCTCTGTGCCAAAGGGAACTGAACCCCCGCTGCAACCTGCACAGGCTCAGTTTCAGTGTGTTTCCAGTTTCACCTCAGCGACTTTTTCCTCCCAAAATATAAGGTGACTAACACGAAATCTAGTGTGACTAAAGGTCTGGGAGTGGCTCAGATCAGGAGCTGCAGATGAACACGTTAGCATGGGCCAGAATTTGTCACACCTAAAATGGTTCCATTAGAATGAGTAACCAGTGCAGAGGTTCAGAGGGATAACAGGAAATTGCAACTCGGTGCCCTTTCCTATCATCGGAGAAGTGCTGAGCCACAGGATTGTTATGCAAATCCTGGCATGTGCCATCTCAGGAGGCAGCCTGCACACTGTGGTAGCATGTTTTTAAAGCTCTTTTCCAGACCAGAGAGTGCTGATAGATGTTTCATTCATCACTGTCCTGTTGCTTAGACATATTCCTGGCTGAGACCTGACCTTCTGCCTCTCCACAAACCGTCAGCTCAGTTGTTTACATCTTTCCTGTTCCCCTTCTTGGAAAGGGCAAGACATTAAGTCCTGTTGAATACAACTCCTTGATTAGAAGTCAAACAAAATAAACGTCCACTCCTGCAACACTGGACACAAAGTTCATCCTCGGAGTGATTTTTTTTCCCCCCAACCAAATGTGACTTGGACACCTCCAAAATTTGGACTTTTCCCTGCATTGAATAGTTTTACTTGAGAAACAGCATTGGCTTTCAGATGTTCAGGAATAGCTTTTTGTGAGATATTTACCAGTAGTGGAGTGATTTCACATTTTCCTAAGTTTTTTTATTTGTTGGTTTGATTTGGGCTTTTGATTATTTGTTTTTTGGTTGGTTTTGGTTTGGTTGGTTTTTGTTTTTCAAGGTATGTACTTTCTGGATTGTCTTCCCTTTTAAGACTTTGGTGACAGAATATGTGAAAAGCTGTCCAGAGGGAATCCTGTTAGAAGCCATTTCTCTACAAGGCTGCCACGATGACTTCAAACCTCAGGAAGGACTAAACACTCTTCCAAAGGCGCATCCTGATCCCAGGCCTGTTGTCACACAGTGATCTTGTGTCTAAATGAGGGTTGTGCATAGCAGAGATGCGAAACAACAGCAGCCCCTCAGGTCTGCAGAGCACCATCACATCCCTGAATATGTTCAGAATGAGAGGGAAAACCTCAGGCTCATGCCTGTGGCTAACTGGCATGCCTGGCCTAAGCAGGGATTGAGGTGGGAGAAGTGAGCCCTCTGTCCCTCGGGACACACCATGAACAGCACGGCCCTTGAACTTCCTGTGACTTCCAGCTTTGCTCGCTCATGGTGCCCACCTGCCCCCGGCCCTGCTGTGCCTGAGACCCTGGAATCATGGAATCATACAATTGTTAAGGTTGGAAAAAACCTTTAAGATCATCAAGTC